GCACAGGACAGAGCGGAGTTTAGGGCTGTTGTACATAGGGTCGCTATGAGTCGCAGGCGACTCGATGGCACATAACAACAACAACAACAAACAACTTTGAAGGAACTGGAGAGCATTATCCTGATGCACATCTTTAAAATTCTGCACGTATTTAAAACCCTGAAGTGTCGTAGTGTTCAGACAACAGTTTTTTGGTCTGTTAATGTTGTTGTTGTTGTACACCACGGAATCTGAACCCACCCATAGCTGACTATCCAGAGGGTTTTCAGAGGCAGTTAATCCCACAGGAAAAGATTACCTACCCTTTCCCCGCTGAGCAGCTGGTGGATTAACTGCTTTCAGAATTGTAGTGGAGTTAATTACCACTAGACCAGTAGAGATTCATTGGTCTGGTTACAGGTTTTGCATAAGAATAATTAAGAATTCAGGAATTCCTACAGTCAAATGCCTTTGCATAATCAATAACATAGGCATTCTTCTCATATTCTCTACTTTCAGCTAAGATCTTTCTAACATCACAATGATATATATTCCTGGTGCCATAGTTATCCTAAATCCAATTTGTGTTTGTGCCAGTTCTCTGTCAATATACTGTTCCAGCCATTTTCTTTTTTTTCTCTGCTCCCAATCCTCCCCCCTAGTACACTACCCTGTAGAAAAAGTAAAAGACAAATTCTTTCATTGTTTTGCAAACCCTCCCCCAGGTCCATTCCACCATATTCCCTTCGCTCTAGACTCCTGTCGTGACAAAAATACCTAATCACATATTCCTTTTAAACACTTTTCTCCCTCATCTGTTTCAATGCAGTATGCATTATTGAACCCGTCTTTCTCAGTCTCATCCCAAGCCCATGGTCAGTCCTGTTTTACAACAGTGGCACCATGCAGTATTTGTCCTTTTGTGACTGAGATACTTCACTCCATAATGTCCTCCAGGGTCACCCATTTTGAATAATATTGCATGAGTTCCTTGTTTTTCAATGCAGCATAGTATTCCATTGTGTGACTATACCACAGCTTCTCTATCCATTCCTTTGTTGATGGGCACTTAGGTTGTTTCCAACTCCTTGCTATTGTGAACAAAGCTGCAATAAACATGGGTGTGCATATATCTGCTTG